GAAGGAGCCACAGGGCACATGGGCTCCAGGCTGTTGGATGGGGGGGATGCTATTTTTTAACGGTATGATTAAAAGCACGATTAATAGCAACTATTCTTTTTTTTAATCTTACAATTAATTGCGATTAATTTTTTTAATTACTTGTCAGCCCTAGCTTAGGTTGTACAAAGAAAGTAACCTTGTCCATACTTCAGGATTAAGCATTTTATGTTTTATAACTTGTGAAAGGTTATGGTTAGCTTGATTTTTCATCTACTAGTTGAATATGAATTTAGTACCATTTCTCTTATCACACAACCTCTGCGTCACCCAGTTAGTACATGTGCCCCACATGCATTTAGTAAGAGTACATGCCCGACAGGAGTGGTGTACTGGTGTACTTTGCAAGCATGCAAATTCTGAAATGTTACATTTAAAATGTAAATGTCGCCAAACTTTTAGTTATCCCTGCATTTGGAGGGAATGTGGAACAAGTTCTTTGACTACATCATAAATTTGGCTATATCTGCATTCACAGATCCAATGTGTCACCAGTTGTTCTAGGCTTTAAATTAACTCCTTTTCCTTGAGTAGTTCTCCTGCTCCTTTCTGCAGAATGGATATTTTTCAAGAGAATCATTTGTTTTTACCCAAACTTCATTTGGTCCTGAATAAATTGGTCTCCTGTGCTGGCAAAACTATGAAAATCTCATGACTGTTCTGGTCAGAGCCTAAAGAGAGACAAGACATTCTCTTCCTCAGTCTTTTCTGACCCAAGACAGCTGCTGAGCCCCTCATTCTTTGCTGAGCAAAGCCATGATTGGAGTTGGAAGCTGCTACTTCTTTGCCCCAGGACATAAGAAGCTCTCTTTCAATCTCAAGTAACAAGTTGAGACCACTTAAGTTTATTATGCTTTGTATGGGTTATATAAACCCATCAGTGTAATAAATACATTGCTGCAAGGTTATCACATTTGCTAAAGTAGGAAAAGCCAAAGTACGTGTATTCTGTTATGGGCTAAGTACAGAGAGTCAAAAAGCCTGAGGCTGAATCTGTTCAAGCTGCAGGTTAGTCTAAACTGCCAAGATTGAACTGATAAGCCAGTGAACAGACATTCACTTTTAATTCTGGAAATGCAGCCACATGCCTGTAGTGGTCCAGGTAAAGCCAGGGGTGCTAGAGCTACCCCCTTGCTCTGCTGGAGCAGACAGTTTGGGCCCAGGCTATCCCACCCACCCTGCCAGGAGGGTTCTGCAGGAAGGTGCAAAGCATTTTAGGATGTTGGGGCGGGGGGACTATAAGTTCATTTGAATCTGGAGGGGATCTAGGGCAGAAGTTCAATAAACTGATTTAACCTAAAATCAATTAGGCCTGATACTACATTCATCCAGGTTTATCTTAAACTGTTTTGGGCCATTTTGAAAGCATTTTCTGTACACTGAACCTCTGTTGTGTTACAAATTTGAACCAATGTTCAATGACTTATACCAGTTTATGTGTAATTTCTGTCCCAGGCCCTGGTGGCCATGAGCTGTCTAGGAAGAAGAATGTACATGCACATGGGGGCTATGGTTTTGCAATGTTTCAAAAGGATGGGGTTCATCTGATGAGAGGTGGGACATGTGCTGCTCCAACAATGAAAAGGACATGGAAAGTGGCTGCATCAGTCCAGTTGGGTTTCCTCATGGTATAAAGCAGTGGAGACCAACCTTTTTAGCAGGCATGCCACAAGGTATTCCTTGCCCCCTCCTTAATTGCTGCTGTGACCCTGTCCTCCAGAGGCATACCTTATACAGGTAGCACCCTAGGGCAGCTGAATGCTGGGGGGGGGCTAAAGCCTCCATCTGCATGGAGCCAGAGAGAGCAGGAAACTGTTGTGAGAGAGGTGTGACTGCCAAGAGCCAACTTAACCTTTTCTAGGCCCAGCAGTCACCACAGTTTCATTTGGTGAGTGAGGACCCAAAGCCTAAATTCAGCAGGGCCAGGGAAGTGTTAACCTGGCTCTTTCTAGTAACACCTGACAGCTCTACAGCAGCATCTTGCAGTCACTTTGATCCACACAGCCCAAGGCTTGGGCCCCTCTGCCTCCATTCCAGCACCTCCATTAATTGTTCGGGGCTCATGTGTCACACACAGCTGCTGCCTGTACCACTTGTGGCAGGCATGCCTCTTGTTGGCCACCTCTGGCATAAAAAAACCCTGAGAAGGTAAAAGAACCCCAAGAAGGTATAAATATGAGATAAGCCAGCAATCCTGCAGGTTTCACCTGACTGGGTCTGGGGAAGAGGGATGTGTAATGATGCTCCAGTTATTAGTCTCCTGACAACTATTAGTTACTGGTGGAATTCAGAGCAGCCAGGAGTCTTGTACCTGTCTAGAATTAGCCATGGATTCAGGAAATGGCCATTAACTCCCTAACAGCCAGTTACTGAATTCAGGTTCCACTGGACAGGGCAGATAATTTGGCTACATAGTAGTTTTCCCTGCGTGCTTGTCTCACTCCCCGGTGCATAGTAAGGGGTTACCAACCTGAGCAGCAATCCCTAGCTGCCATGGAAGTGTCCCACGTCACCTGTGGTGTCTTCTATTTGGCTGCTACAGTTCCACATCCGGCCCTGCAGCTTTGGCCCATAGGAAAGAGATTTAATTCAGGAAAATCCTCTGCTGTAGGATCTTCAGTCTCACTGGCCGTATCGTGGAGGCACTCAGTGCTTATCATGCAGGGAATGACTGAGACCCTCTGATGCTTTTCTTTGAAAATCAAAACATTAAAGCCCCAGTTTGATGGTTTTCAAATTTTCCAGGCATCCCTCCCACTGGCATTAATTGCACCCCTGCTGTACTTTTTGCAAAGCTGTTTTCTATTTCAATATGCAGTACATGTTCAATGTAGCACTAAACCTCTGTTGCTCTGCAGTATAAAAAGCTTTATTTTATGCAAATGGCGTTGTACACATTGAAATGAGCTTGACAAAATGCTAAACACTCACATTTTACAAATGCGATTTCTGGCTTTTTGTTTGTGTTCCACTTAGTTCTATGTCTTAACAAAGACCCTGCTGGCATTCATTCCTATCAGTGGCCGGCCCTACACCAGTGATTTAACAATACCCTGGCTGACCACAAGCCAACTCCATACAAGATCTCACCTACTGCCATCAAAACTTCCCTTTCCCTATGCATTGCTCCCACCCCATTCCTCAAAGTGTCCATTGCATCCCCAATCAGTTCATTTCTTGGACTGGCTTCAGGTTCCTTGGGTGGTAACTATTTTGTATTATTTCTTTTCTCTCTTTGCTCTTGTCCTCCCCCTTTTTTTTTTCTGTTTCTTCCTCCCTGCTTCACTACACTTCTTTTTCCTATGATCCTTCCAAATCCCTTAGACCCATTAGCTGCTACTGATTGGCTGTAGATACATTGCCCTGCTATCCCCACACGTAGCTCCCGTGGATGCTTTACTTTTTATCTATCAGCTGTTCAGTGGCTGGATTGACCTCATTTTGACTCCTACCTCAGTAGGTGTGTGAGGCTGTGAAGTGTTTCAGCACCTGGAAATTTCTGAAGGTGCATTGTTAGTTGGCACTATTAAAAGGATTACAGGTCTCCTTGCATAAGGAGCTTGGTGAATGATTGCTGCGTGGATGCTCTCTATTGGCCCTAGGTCCAGAAGCTGTCACCACGGTAAATCCTAGAACAAGGAAGACTGCTAACTATAGGAGGAATGAACACATGTAATTCCTTTACGTTTTTGTTGACATAGGGTTCGAGGACCTCCATGCTTGTGCTGATCCAGGAATCCCTGAACATGGATACAAGACACCCAGTTCTGGCATTTTCTTTGAAAGTTCTGGAGTCCGATTTCACTGCCAAGAAGGATATAGACTTGATGGTCCTTCAAAAAAACTGTGTGAGAGACATTTTAATGGCTCCCTGAGCTGGAGACCAAGTGATATACCTGTGTGCCTACGAGGTGGTAAGTCAGTTTTGTTAAAGCATGTCAGAAATGTCAGCTGTTATTGTCTGGATCCATCCCATGCAGAGTGCAGAAGGTTGGAGCCCATATAATATGCTTATATGTTATTTGTATTTTCATTTCTGAGCTAAAGGTGTCAAGATAGATCAGTGCGGTGGGAAGGTATGTGTGTGTGTATGTGTATGTGTGGGACAGGGACATAAAGGAATTTTAGCAGTGACTAAGAAATAGAAGTAATAATGTTTCTCCTTTTGTCCAATTATAAGTTGATCTTTTGTGGCTTTTGTTGATAGAAAGAAAATTCCCCCAATAACAGTATATTTTACTAGCCTGTTAGTGCTCCTTTCTGTGAGATCTTACTATGAAAATGTAAGTAATTGCTAATAGTACTAAAGATGAATGTTAATCAGAGGATTAACTATCTATTATTATTTATTACATATATGTAATGCATAATTCATTGGGGAGAATAAGTATGGGAAGTAGTGGTTTATTGGCATACTATAATTTTACTACTAGGTAATCCAGACACTTATGGAGTAAAGCAACTTGATTTTTATTATACATAAATATGTTCAGAATTTAAAATATATCTTGTCTCAAATAAGTTATGTTTCCTTTTAAGAGATTTGATGGAATCAGGGTTAGACTAGCAAAACACAAACATAAATTTTGGCCAAAATTATGTGTAAGCAGTGCTTTCTATTAATTTCACCAGATACATTAAAACTATTTTTCTTCCTCCAACTGATTTATTTTTGTTCAGTAGAGCTTATAATCAAGAGTCATAAAAGCACCAGTAGGATTTATGCTGTCTCTCTGTGAAACTTTTCAAATATTTTTTGGCCAGGAGTGTTATCTCTTTGTTACATTATGAGCTAGGAGGCAGAACCTGAGCAGGTGGGTTCAGTGGAGTTACTTTGAGTACATACACACACACCTGTTGTGTTGTGTTGTGTTGTGCTGTGTTGTGTTTTAGGGCCTGATCCTGTCCTCACTGAGGTCAATAGCAGGAATTCCATTGACTTCAGTGAATGCAAGGTCAAATTTATTAAAACTTTCTGCACTTTGTGTATGATGTTATGCATAAGGACCTAGAATATAGACTTGATAGTAATCTCATTTGCAGCTAATTCTGTTTTTCTTTTTTTCAGTAAATCTTGTTGATTGTTTTTGTTCTTTATTTTAATTGTCCAGCAAGGAGATCTTAAAGCAGAAATCTCCTGTTCCAGTTCAGTTAAAAACCACAATCCTAGGGAAGTCTAATCCCATTTCACTTTTGCTAAAAAGACATATTTTATTACAAAATGCTTTGCATATTTCATACTGTAGCAAAGATAATCCTGTAGATATCATTCAATAAAATAGCAGTTATTTCTTGGTTTGGCTTCATTCTCTTGTAGCATAAAAGAAAATCCTCCACATTTAAACAAGTGTGTGTGGGAATGTACACACACACATATTTTATTCAAACACTCCCATATTTCATCCATTTGGCATAGATACTAATCTTCTCCAAACAAATGATTTTTTGTGAAAAAAAATGAAATGGAGTAACAAAAAGAAACAAGTATATTTAAAATGGGTAATAAACTAGGGGTGAAAAGCTAATTTTTATAACATGTATTTTCTGTTAAACATTACTGAGTCTTTGCTGTGGGAGATTCTTCTCTGTGCACGTGTCTTACTAACTGTGCAGTAGCCTAATATTACTGCAAAGTAGTGCACCACAGCACAAACAGTGCTAATATGCTACTGCACAATATTATTAGGCTACTGCACAGTAGCATCACTAAAAGGGTGTACAAGTATACAAATACAGATGTCACTTGTATATTTGATTATACAAATACTAAATTTAATGTGCACTAACAACAGTGCATTAATGAACGTGTAGATACGCCCTGTATCTCTGAGACAGAACATGTATTACTTGCTACAGTTATTACACTAAGCACTAGTATGTTCTGTTGCATATAAAAAAACCCAGCTGAGTAGAAATCCATGGATGAAGTCTTGTCCCACAGAAGGGAATGACAAAACTCCTTTTATCTACAGTGGGCTCAACATTTTAGCCTGGGAAAATATCCAAAATATTGAGGAATGATCATGTGGTAGTCTGAGTGATAACAGTTGCCCAGAAGATGATCAGTCATTAACTCCCAATACTGTCTTTAAAATGTATTGCCTGTCAAGGCCCTGATCAATCAAAGCACTGAAACATGAGCTTAATTGTAGGCATGCAATCAGTCCTTTTAAAGTCACATATTTAACCCTATGTTTACATGCTGCCCAATTAGGCAGTCTTTCCTAAATGTGAGGCCTAACACTATAGCCTAAACAGTCACAGACTTTAGTAACAGGGAGAAGCAGTTTGTTTTTCACACTCTGCCTTTGCATAAAATAGTTCCTGGTTCAGAGGCATGTATTCAAGCCCATCTTCGGTTGCTTCTGGCTGTAAATGAGTCCCTGGTTGTTCAGGCTGGGGAGTGAAAGGCAGCTAGGTGTTATACTAGCCACATCTCTTCCTTGTTTGATGTTGGGTATGGAAACTGGTATAGTTTAACCATGCTAACTTGATGGCGGAGTGGCGGGCGGGGTATTCACTGTGCTGGACATTTGACTTTGATGCATATGACATTCATCAGAGGGACTTAAGTATATGTTTATGGGCATTTCTGAATTGGGGCTGTAGTTATAAGAAAGGAGTGATTGATAGGCAATACAGTAGGATGGCACTTTTGGGATCCATTTGAAGAGGATTTCTAAGCAATTTTGGAGTTTCATGGTATCTATCAAAGGCTTTGTGCTTGTCATAAAAGTCTTCATTGCAGATTTTTTTTTCTTTAATAATATGTGCAGAAATAGGCAGTAAATCTGGATTTCAGAATGCAATGTGTATCATTGTTACCTGTCACAAGGTGAAATACATGTGATAAACCTGGCCACTTAAAGCAGAAGCTGAGTTTTGCACTTGCCACATGTAAAGAACTCCATTTGTGCTTTATGTAAATCTGAGATGATGCCATCTGGCCCATTAAAACACTTGCTTTTAATATGACTGCCTTAATGTTGGAGCATTAAAAAAACACCTAATGTATCACAATTTATTTCAAACTTTATCCCAGAAGCCTGACTTTTAACTAAGGACAGTTTGCATATATAAAATGATTACCCAGCAATTAACTAGAACAGTCTACAGTCAATAGTTGCTTTACAAACTAGAGCACTGATGCTATTCAAAAGAGTATGGAATGACAAGCTGTATGAAGTTATTCACATAAAAACAAATCTCCAGGCTTACCTGGAGATTTTCAGTGAATTGATATGATTCTGCAAGTTTGCCATTTCCTGTTAAGGTGCAAACTATCTTAAGTGTCAAAACAAGCATGCAGTTGCACAGCACAGCACAGCATGACTAGATACTTGATAAATGCACGTCTTGAAAATTTATTTACTTAGGATTAAATTCCTTTGTTGTCTCCAGTGTGTGTGTTATGCCTGTAACTGCCATCAGTTCTTACGTGGTTGTCCACATACATCTCAAGGTGCCCAAGTTAGACTTTTGTGCTTACTGTTTAAGAGTAAGAGGCTGTGTTTTTTGCTCTTTAATCCTCTCCTACCTTGAATATGTGGCTGCTGAAACTGTTGGAATACTCCGAACAAGAGCTAATGGCTTCCTCTCAGACTGAGTTTTTAGTTACAGTGCATTTGAAGGCTTCTTTCCAGTTCCCGAGCTACCGAGTATGCAGTTAGAGTAGGGTCTCTCTACGCTGTCAAGCCTTAAATCATAGAGATGTATGTTTTGTGCTGCAGTTACCAACCTGTGGAATGAAGACAAGGTTACTTCCTTTCTCCTGCATTGTGTTTGTCTTGTCTATTTAATTTGCCACATCTTCAGCATAGGGGATTCACTCTTCCTATGGGTATGTCCACATGGCACAAAGCAGTGCTGATAGATACCCAAGCTAGTTCTCAGTGGGTTAAAATAGATACCAGAATCATCACAATCATGTTAGTGCAGTGCTGAGCCTTGGTTTGTCACGATAAATTAGTCCAGGCAGAGCAGTCTTCTAACACAGTTCTTCTTTTGGTATCCAAGCTACTTAGTTTATATATTGCATAGCCAGGTGAAGATCCAGGGTAGGGTGCAGTGGTTTCCCACTTCAGTTCCTCCACTGCTGCCATTCATGGAAGCCCAGAGCTCCAACCTGTGGTGCCTGCCACATCTTCCTGGCCCCAAAGGCCAAGGGTACAATCCTGCCTGTACCTCCACCCCCAGTTCAGAAACATGTATCCATTGTTGTGCAGATCCTGTATGTTGTACATACAGTGCTTAGAACAATACAGCATCAGTTTTAGTTGAGCCCTTAGGCACTACTGAAATAAGAGTAATAACGGCAGGATTCTTGTCGTACTTTCTGGAATGTGATCTGTTTGTTATTGCCATACTAATCATACCAGTGTGATTCTGCACTTGCAGGCCACAGATGAAGTCCATGTCATGCAGGTTAGCAGCTCCCTAATAATATACCCCAGAGCAGTGGCCTTTTTCACATTTGTGCGCACACAAATAGGCCATGCCCTGCCTCACAACTGCCTCTGATCACTGTTCTTGAGAGCAGGAAGTGTTATGAAATGCTCTCTGAAATCTTACTTGAACTGGGTCATGTATTTTTTCCATGCCATGCTTTTTCAACTGAATGGAGCAGACAAACTGGAGAGATCATGCAATGAGCCTGCATATAAACCAAGGACCTCTTGGTGTAGCTGAGTTTGGGCAGTTTAATAATGGCATGTCAAAATTCAGATCACAGTATTTTAAGCTGCATCTTGAAATCACTTCCTTCCTTTAACACAGGCACATGAACTTCCAAAACCAGAAATCCTAATATGCAGCATTCCATCTTTACCAAAGTTGAACAAAGCTGGAGAATTATACATGGGAAGTAGTAGCATCTGCAGGAGCTGCATAGTTCAGTTGATAATGTGACCAGCTA